TTGCTTGGACTGCCTGGGAGCGACGGTTGGTCGCACTGATCCTGCAATGGGTCCTCTCCACGTATCTTATCACCCATCGACTTGCTCTGCTCCTGCAGGTTGGCCAACGCGTAGTCGCACAACAGCGAGTCGACACCCTGGTCAGCGCACAGCTGGGTCTCGGCGCCGCACAGCGGACAGATGATTTTACCGGGCGAATCGACTAACTTCTCAAGACAAGCTTTGCAGAACGTATGGAAACAGGCCAGAACCTTCGGCTGATCGTACGTCTTTACACACAGGTAACAATGCGTGAGATTCGGAGTAGCAACAATATCAGACGACTGCGCCGACGAGGGCGATAATGAGGTTCCGTTGTCAACAGTTAAATTCTTCATGCCTACTGTTACAGGAGATTTGCGCTGAAATTTACACGGCAATTTTTCAGGGTTAGCCAAAGCGAGGTCGTTCGCCTCCGCATGCTGCGACGACTGCAAAGCGGCGACGGCGGCGGCAGCAGCGGCAACATTGGCTGGGGATGACATCCCGGAGCTATAATTGGTTTCCGCTTCCGCCAGACAAACCGAACCGTTGCTTTCCGGGAACGATTCGCTTGTGCTGCCAGGAGACGCCATCGGCAGACGGACAGCAAACGACCAATCACGGTACAAACCGGCAACGGTGACTTTGGCAACCTTGGCAACAATGCACAGACGCAGGGGTGATGAGTGAGTTGATGGGCGAGCAGAAGACCGAGTTATTTATCTAACAGGAACATCTTGAAAGTCATCTTCATATATTCAGCTTGCAACTGAGACCCTGAAACACAACCACCATCATTAAACATAGTCATTATCATGCAAATTATGCATATGCGAACGCGACTTTTGCGAACACTCCAACTTCAGAATTCTGAAAACAGCACGGAACAAAACCTTTTAAACAGAATTTAGGTTTACTTACGACTAATTTGCCAATACTATATTCATTCTTAGAAAACGAACTAAAAACATCTCCGGAACAAGGATAATGAAGAAACGAAGTGAAATAAAGAGAGCAACAGATCAGAAATCAAAGATCGAATGCGTGAACCTCTGCAAAACAATAAGGAGACGAATAAAAGAAGACGTCGGAGCATTGAACTGCAGATTAGCAATGAAAACGATTGAAAGCAACCGAATTATGCAAAAATTAAATCAAAGACTGACCGTTGGGAAACGAACAAATTTTAGCTGTTCAAGCAGAACATGGAACTATCACCAGGGAAAGACAAGGAAACCTAAACAAAGTGGAAGACTTTTATAGAAAACTTTAGAAAGATCAACCCGCACCAAAGGTGACGATAAGAAGCTTGAAAATACAATCGAAGTAGGGAAATTTCAGATATGGTGCCAGAAGTGCGACTCGCAATCAAACAGCCGAAACGAGGAAAAGTTTCTGGGTAAAATGGCATTATGCAGGAACTTGCGGAATCAGGATGCAATGTATTGATCAAAATATTGGCGCGCTTGCTTTACTACTGTCTGATTAAACTGATATTTCTGTACGATTGGATTATCTCATAAGTGACAGAGAAAATCTGAAGAATTACAAGCCGATCCATTTGTTACAAATCATCTACAATACCTTCATGAAGGTACCGACGGACGGACATCAAGAAAAACCAGATGCTAAACAGACAAAAAAGCAAACAAGATTCAGAAGTACATTTAATACGATTGATCACTTCCAGGTGGTGGAACAAGAGGGAACTCCGACAAGCAGCAAAAATCAGCTTCCTCTTTATCTGATGTTCATCAATTTCACGAAGGCCTTCGACTCAGTCTACATTCGTTTTGCACTGAATTTCTTGACGAGTCAGCGACTCCAAGAAAGACATTTAAACATGATGGCTATGATTTACAAGAATGCAACTGCTACTGCGACATTTAACAAAAGCACAGGCAATTTCAAAAACAAAAAAGGCACCCGAAGGCGATAGGATAACCCCGAAGTTATTCATAACAGTTTTAGAAGGGGTTTTCAAGACAATCTGCTGAAAAAATCAAGGTTTGTACATAAACAGTCACTACTTAAGCTATCTGCGGTTTTTCGACGACATTCTGATTCTCTCAAGATCACCTAAAGAATCCAAGAATTAAACAAGCCAGCATCAAATGAACGTGGAAAATACATAGGTCATGTTCAACAAGTACACGACCCCAAAGTTGCTAAAGTCAGTTGACCTAATATTGAACAGGTGCAAAACTAAGTCTACCCGGATAAGGTAATCCTGCAGCGGATAATCGATCATGTGAAATCAACAGAAAAATTAAATTGGCGCAGAGCACTTGCGCAAGATCGACAATGCTCTTATCCAGGAAACTTCCAATGTGCTTTGAACAGAAAATTTTCGATCCATGTGTGTTCCCATATCAGTGCCAAAATATAGGTGCGAAACGTAGGCCCCAAAAATATATACATTTCACTATTAACTTAGGTCTTTCGCGATGAATAACAACCTATTATATCGTCATGATGTTGAGAGAAAAGTGGCTACAAATAACCGAGATACGCTTTAGATTAGCAAAGTCCACATTAAATAAGCATACATTTGCTTCGGTTATTTATGAAATCGCCCAAATGATAACGACTCAATTATCAATTATTATGAATATATTGTGGTCAAAAATGGTTCGGCGACAGCTACGGATGCATCTCCCTATTTCGCCTTCGCAATATGCCTAATTAAATTGCTATGAAATAAGGAGCCACGACAAACGACAGATCGTAAAGTTCAGGCAAAGTAACATAGTCAACCAGATCTCCATTCTCTGAAAGATGAGCAGGAAATGCTGAAAATATATAAAGAAAATTTGTGGATATTTTGCAGACTCGGAAATAATAATTCATGACAACATGTTCCGAGAAGATCTGTTGAGAAGGTTTCAGGAAAAAGGCTGGATGGCTCAATCGAAGTTTATGTAGTCCATATACAATTATTCAAAGGTCATTCCAGGTTAACGGAATTTAAGGCATTTCAAAGTGCATACTGGCCTCCATTAACAAAGTTTCATTATATTTTCAGTTCATAATATTTGCGGACAGGAGTTGCGAACATTTCACAAGCACGGAGAATACAGCAAATTCGACGCATGACCGAATAAGCTGCTGTCCACACATGATCTTTGATGCAATCGACAAGTTGGTTTTTTGACATGGAGAGCTCGAACCCGCATTTGTGAGGTTCACTGCCGGCTAGAAAGAGACGACGATTTTCATCTGTGTAACCATAACCGAGGTATAGGTACTCTTGAAAAACGCCTTTCTCTGTGTCCTTTAATTTAATGGAGGTTAAATGAAGAAAGTGGACAAGTTCATGTAATTCGGGGTAGCATAAATGAGTGATAAGAAAGGAACGACAAAAAAGCAGGCACATGCACACGAATCAAATAAACGGCATCATTAATGCTAAACTAGTTGTCA